TCCTAGTGTACCCTTACTAGGAGTACCTCCTAGTGTACTCCTAGTGTACCCTTACTAGGAGTACCTCCTAGTGTACTCCTAGTGTACCCTTACTAAGAGTGCCTCCTAGTGTACCCTTACTAAGAATGCCTCCTAGTGTACTCCTAGTGTACCCTTACTAGGAGTGTCTTCTAGCGTACTCCTAGTGTACCCTTACTAAGAGTACCTCCTAGTGTACTCCTTGTGTACCCTTACTAAGAGTGCTTCCTAGTGTACTCCTAGTGTACCCTTACTAGGACTACCTTCTAGTGTACTCCTAGTGTACCCTTACAGGACAGGGTCTTACTGTTACACAGGGTGGCCAAGACCATAATCTCAATGGAGGCAAACAGCCTCACTATCCTCTCAGGTTTGAACCATTAAACTTTCGGTTAGAAGCCTAATCCCTAACTCACTGTGCCACCAGGGCTCTTTTGACAAATTAGGGACAACCCCCTCCCCCCGCCCCCATCCCCATTTAATTCCATTAAAACATAATGGAACTTTCCATAAACTTTTTAAGCCCCATTGTGTATTTTCTTAGTACACATAAATGAATGAAGATGATCATTCCTTTATGTTTGAGGTAGGTAGCTTATTGTGCCAACCTGGTCAATAAACACGTGGGATTAATTGAAGAGCGGAGGGGTAAATGGCTCGGTGAGCCTCGCCTTTCAAATTCTCGGGTCTATTGCTTTCTGATGGTCGGACCAGGGTGCAGCTGCCTTAGCCAGTTCCCTGCTTCAGTTGGCAAGGCTCACTTCCTGCAAGACATCCCTGAGAAGAAGCCACATGGACCTACCCCAATGCAGCCCTGGGTGCTGGAGCAGCCGTGTGGAGACCTCTGCCAGTGCTGAGATGCTTACACGTTCACTGCCTCGGCTTTCCTCCTGCAGTCAGTGTCATAATGTGCGTTTTGTGAGATGGAGGAGGACTTTGTGGATTGGTGTTGGACGTGTGGATTGGTGTTGGACTTGTGAGCTTGGGCAGCACTGGGTTGGGATTTTTTCTTCATGTGCACTTAACCTTTATATAAAACTCTCTCTTATACATGAGTTTCTGTGGATTTGTTTCTCTAAAGTACCCAGACTCACACAAGGTTGCATATAATTTCATAGTTTGCTATCAAGTCTTCAGAAACCTTACTCACCAAAGATCCATTATGTATCAATTTAATCCCAGTTATATGTCAAACTTTACCTAGTCATTCTTTTATTTTAGACATTACACGATTACCTTAATCTTTCTGATATTTGTAAATAATGCATAAATAAAATTTACCAGAAAATATTCTAGTATAATAAGAACTGATGTTTATCATAAGATACACTCAAGAGAAATGGAATTTACTTACCAGTAGTTAATAACTATCACATTTTACAATTCACTATAAAAATTTTTTATCAAATTGCTTCAAAAAATGCTACCTTGCAAATAAATACCTAGGCCTCAAGCACTTTTGCCTGATTATTTAACTTAGGGACCAGGAGCCTCCGCTTCTTTAGGCCTCATCCAAAACTGAGAACTACAACTTCTTCTACCGTGCTCTGAGCTAAGCTCGCGGTGCGTTCAGAAGTAGTACTGTAAAGGAAAACTGGAGTGGTCAGTCACTACAAGAATTTCTGACTGGAAATTAAATTTACATGATTTAACATGTTTGTTGGCCTCTTCCCCAACACCTCCTTCCCCACCTTTTTAGTTGACTTGTTTGTTTAAAATTCAAGGCCTGAATGGAAATCCACTCTACTAGAATTTATTTCAGTTCAACTTAGTATCATAATTTTGAAGGACAGATGAAAATTTACTAAGGCCTTAGAATGGCAACCATTCACACCATGAATCTGTAAAAAATTCCAGACTTCTCACACACGAGTACGTAATGACAATATGTCTCAATTAAAACAAGATTTGTA